CACATGGCGGCTACGAACTGTCCTTAACTCCAGGTCCAGGGGAATCCAACGCCCTCTTTTGACCTCTGTGGCATTGCATGAAACAGATGTACTCACATACATGCAGGCAATACACTTATATACATAAAATAAAAATTAAAAAGAATATATATATATATACACCTAGGAAATTGGAGGGACACTAGGAATTAAGAAATTTGTTGTTGTTGTTTGTTTTGTTTTAAAGCCAAGCCTTAAACAAATAGAAGGATTGAGCATAATCTTTCTGATGGGAACACAGGCAGTTTGACCCTTGTCCAAAGTTGTAGGGACAGCACCAATAACCAAGTCCCCTGTGTGAAGAAGTTTTCAGGCAACGAAATTCATTAAGCAATGGGCTTCTGCTCCCTTCATGCCATGTAAACAAAGCTGCCCTCAAATGGTGCCATAGTACTGTGTAGTGTTTCCTATGTTCTCTCCTCCAGCTGCACCATGGTACTTGTCGTGTTTCCTATGTTCTCTCCTCCAGCTGCACCATGGTACTTGTCGTGTTTCCTATGTTCTCTCCTCCAGCTGCACCATGGTACTTGTCGTGTTTCCTATGTTCTCTCCTCCAGCTGCACCATGGTACTTGTCGTGTTTCCTATGTTCTCACCTCCAGTTACACCATGGTACTGTGTAGTGTTTTCTATGTTCTCTCCTCCAGTTACACCATGGTACTGTGTAGTGTTTGCTATGTTCTCTCCTCCAGCTGCACCATGGTACTGTGTAGTGTTTCCTATACTCTCTCCTCCATCTCTGACACCTGTGTTCCTATGAGAAAAAAAATCAGCTATGGCCTAGACTCATGAGTAGATGAGCACAAGCAAAGGCCTGGAAAGATAGTTCAGAAGTAAGCATCATCTTCACCAAATAGCCAGCCTTTGCATCTGACTGACTGTGTTCAGCTCTGCTTATTTGTCCCCTTACCAGAGACCCAGATATTCCCAGGAAGGAGGCCCTGGTGTCTGCTGTTTCCCAAACAGGTCTGGATCTGCAAACTCCGTACTGTAGAAACCGGCTGGGTCTGCTTTGGCTCTCAGCCTTGGTAGAGCCTTTAAGCTCTTTTCCAGACACAGCAGAGAACTTAATTCAATATTTATGAAGATATTTCCTAAACACTGAAGTATTTATAGCTTTATATATATTTGATTAAATCATAATTACTTGTGTTTTTGTATTAAATTTAAGAGAAAATACTGGAGCAAAATTTGAAGAAATAGCACCACCTAGGGATAAATTGATGTCAACTCTGAAATCCCGCCTTCTGCCTCAGAGCCCTGGATTGTCTGTCCTCCCTCTTACTTGAGGAGTATGTATATTTTAAATCCTTATTGCAGAGTGTTCCTGGGTTTTGCACTTGCTGAGACTGTCTCCAGTGAAGACCAGGCTCTGGACTGAGAAGGTTTTTAGAAACTTCCACTTATACCGCACGATCTTCTCTTGATTGCTTTTCCTTTTCCTTTTCAAGTGTTATTTTCAGTAAGATGTCAGCCTTACTCCCATCCTTTTTCAATATTTTCTGATTCAGGCTATAATCATATTAAATGGATCTTCCCATTTACCTAAGAGTTTTTAATTATAGTGGTATTTTTTTTTCAAGTGAGGTGTAGTTAACCACTGTGATTAACTCTTACCTTGGCATCAACTTTGTGTAACTACTTTCTTCTTTTCTAGGGAATAGACTTATAACCCACATTCTAATCATGACTTAAACCCGAGTGTACTGTACAAGTTTGAAATAGGCGTATCCTTGCCCCAGTTTCAATTTTGTAGGTGTTAGGACATGATTTATATTACCAATTAGAAGTCTGGTTAGAGATAGACCCTGGTCCTTCCTAAGAGAACTTACTTCAATGAATATTTACTTTCCAAATGAAAGGTTTTTAAAACAGTCATTTTAAAGCATGAGTGTTTAGATTTTATCACAAATTGGACGTGCATGTGTGAAACAACTTCTTCCTCCTCCTCCTTCTTCTTCTTCTTCTTCTTCTTCTTCTTCTTCTTCTTCTTCTTCTTCTTCTTCTTCTTCTTCTTCTTCTTCTTCTTCTTCTTCTTCTTCTTCTTCTTCTTCTTCTTCTTCTTCTTCTTCTTCTTCTTCTTCTTCTTCTTCTTCGGTCTTTTTTTGAGACAGGGTCTCCCAGTAGTCCCAGCTGGCCTGAAACTCACTATGTAGACCAGGCTGGCCTTGAACTCACAGAGACCCACCTGCCTCTGCCTCCTGAGTGCTGAGATTAAAGCTGTGCTACCATGCTCAGCTTGAAACTTCATTTTAAATCTCAGACTTGAAGAAACATTTCTCCTGAAATTTAGGAAAATAGCAATAACACAAATTTTAAAAATATTTGAGGGCTGGTGACATGGCTCAGCAAGTAATGGTGCCTGTCACCAAGCCTGATGACCTGAGTTTGATCCCTGAGACCTACATAGTGGAAGGAGAGAACCAAATCTCTCAAATTGTCCTTTGACCTCTACATATGTACAGTGGCACAGAGACACCACCCTCCCGCATGTGCACTAAATAAATACAAATATAATAAAACACACACACACACACACACACACACAGTTGAACAAAGACACAGGCACTCTTTACCTTAAGTTCAAACCCATCGTATGTTCAAAATGTCTTCAGTACACCTAGCCACAGGACATCCCAGTTTGGCAGTAGTCTGCAGTAGTTGTCTATGGCTTACCTGCATGCTTGCAGGACTGATCAGGAGCTACTGCCCCTGCTGCCACCCTTGTCTCAAAGGTTTCATACCATATATTGTAGCCCAGGAGAAATCAACATTCAAAATTTGAAGAAGAGTTTCCATTGAATGTGACTTAGTATTGCATGATCGTAAGATTAAGAATTGTCAAGTTGGGGCTGGAGAGATGGCCAGTGGTTAAGAGCACATACTGCTCTTGCAGAGGACCTCAGTTTGGTTCCCAGCACCCAAGTTGGGCAGCTCACAATAATCTGTAACTCCAGATCCAGGGACTCCAATGCCCTCTTCTGGTTTCTATGGGTACCTGCACTCATGTGCACACACACACACACACACACACACACACATACACACACACATAATTAAAAATAAAAATGCAGGCTGGAGAGATGGCTCAGTGGTTAAGAGCATTGGCTGCTCTTGCAGAAAATCTGGGTTCAGTTCCCAGCACCCACATGGCAGCTCACAACTGTTCATAACTCCAGTTCCAGGGGATCTGATGCCCTCTTCTGGCCTGCGCAGGCATTGCAGGCACATGGTGCACCTACATACACTCAGGGAAAACACTCATATGCTAAAATAAAAGTAAATAAAATTTAAAAATGATAAGATAAATAAAATCTTAAGAGAATTGTCACATGGAGCCATTGTGAGTTGGCGCTAATCTGTATATGCAGTCTACTGGAGATGCTTCAAAATAAGTGATATTTTCTTTGGGGCTCATTTTCAAAAGATATTTTTATTTTGTGATTGACTATAGGAATTTGATCTTTGGTATGGCAACAGCCAATATGGAAGTACTATATGTTTTCCACCCTTTGTCTTAGTCTATTTTAGGAAGTTCCATAATTTTTGTTGTAAGACAAAATTCAGCACACATTTCCAGGTAATCATTAAAATGGCAATTTCTTTTCTTTCTTTTTTTTTTTTTTTTTTTTTTTTTTTGTCTTTTTGAGACAGGGTCTCTCTGCAGCCCCAGCTGTCCTGAAACTCACTACATAGACCAGGCTGGCCTTGAACTTGCAGAGATCAGCCTGCCTCTGCCTCCCAAGTGCTGGGATTAAAGGCGTGTGCCACCACACTTTCTTAATCAGTTATGTGTTTTCATTCTGTCATTTATAATGAGTGAAGAATGAGATTCTCTTTGTGATAAATCAAATGTATTCTTTATGGAAGTAAAATGTAGGGAATGGTAAAGGGTTTTGTTTTTGAGAGTTGCAATGATTTATAGCAATTTGGTCAAGTACAGGTCAAACAGGTTCACATGTCATTTATCTTTCTAAAAATCAAAAGAACTCCAAAGGAAACAAGGTAGAAGAAAACATTTTGGATGATCACTTTTCTAAGCTGCTTTAAGACGTGATTTTTAAAAATTAATTTAAAAAGGGGAGAGGTGTTCTGGCCACATGCAGGTAAAGTTACTTGCTATGTATATCTGGTAACCTGTGTTCAATCCCTGGAATCCGCATAGAAGTTGAAGGAATAGACTCTACAAGACTGTCCTCTAGCCTCATGTATACCATTTCCCCACCACTACCATGAAACACACACAGAAACAATAATAATAAATAAAAACTTAAAAAATTTTAAATCATATGTTGAATAGTAACTGGAGAGGTCTTGTGTCTGCATGTTTCATCTTTTTATACAATATGTTCGTATTCTTTGAGAATTTCATACATGTATATAATGTGTTTCAATCATAGTGATCCCCCTTTCCCAGTTCCTCCTGGACATCTCCACCACCTTCTAATTCAACTTCTTCATATTCATATATATATCCCACTGAATCCAGTTAGTGATGCCCATATTGCATGGGTATGGGGCTGTGCACTGGAGCATGGTCAACCTACCAAGAACTACACCCCTAAAGAAAACTGATTCTCCTTCCACTAGCAGCCAACAATAATCAACAGCTCTGCAGCTAGGAGAGGGGGCTCGTGAGTCCCTCCTCCACTCCATGTTGGACTGTTGACTGGTTTGATCTTGTGTAGGCAACCATAGCTGCTATGAATTCATGAGTGCAATGGTCCTATCATGTCCAGAAGGCCCTGTTTCATCCTGATCCTCCCTGATGTTTGGATCTTACAATCTCGGTTTTATTTTTTAGTCTCAAAATTATTTTTGTCTTTGTGATTGTTGATCATATTTTTAAAAAATTGGAGATTGGTGTTTCCAGGGCATCTTGAGTCGTGTTCACAGAGATGCTCCAGTTTGATGCCACTGGCTCATGTGTGCTCCTTTGTGTCTCCCTCTCTCCTTTTGTAGAGTAAGGATGGCAAAAGTCCTCTGCACATGACGGCCGTCCATGGAAGGTTCACACGCTCACAAACGCTCATCCAGAATGGTAAGAGAGACGCTTTGGTGGTGTGGTTATTTGATCAGTTTCTCAGATTTATTGCATCGGCTTTAGCCACCCGAGTGGAAATTAGTGCTGTATTTAGAAGTTTTAGTAACTGGATTTACACATCTTTTGCTGTAAGGTCATTGTTGCCCATATCATCAGCTCCGCTTTTAGTAGGGAGAACCTAAAGCCACATTCCAGTCAATTCTCAGACAGATAAAGAGCTTGTGTGCTTTGCAGTTGGAAAGGATGAACAGGTTTTAGATGTAGTAGTCTTTCACTCAGAAACCAATGAAGATAAATAGGCTACATTTCCTAGCAGCAGATCTGAGCTATTTTTAGATTTTTGAACTTGCCAAAGTTCCCTAAGTTAAAGTTCATTAAGCTATGTGAGCAAAGGTAGCAAAAAATAAGGTGACTCATGGTTTAATCAGGTAAGTACATGGTATATGGATCATAAAGTCACAGGGCTGACAGACTGCTGAGAAAGCCACATAACAGTAATTTTCCATGTTGTCAACAAAAGTGTACTTGAATGCCACTGGATTTCTCTGAGATCAAAGTCCTCAGCAGTATCACTTCATACCAAGGCTCTTGTTACTCTTAGTGGGCTGTAGTAGGCATCTGTGAGTAGTTTGACTTTGACAATACAATATGTGATCTTAGCAAACGTTAGAGACAATTTGGGGGAAAAAAAACCCAAAGTCTTGATTCAGACATTAAGCTGATGTACTAGGTCAATTTGGTGGTTCCTAAACTTCTCTGGAGGGTTGAGAAAGGGTCTCCCTGTCACTCAAGCTGGCCTAGGACTCACTATGTAGACCAGGCTGGCCTCCATCTCACAGAGATCCACCTGCCTCTACCTCATGAATGCTGGGATTAAAGGTTATTTTTAGTAGATTCAAACTTTCACTTAGAATTCTAACGTGTGTGACTTTTCTTGGATCCCTCAATATATTTTATGTCTGTAAGAATTTTTGGTGTCATATACTTGAATTGTTAGTGGCAAGGATTTATAACTTAGGCACTCAAGTCATAAAGCCAAAAAAGTCATTTGACATCTAGATGGAAAACCAGCCACTGAAATGATGCTTCAGAAGCAAAATATCCACAGCAGCACAGAGGAAATTTATAATCATCTCAGTGAAGCTGCAGGGGAAAAGGCATCTAGCAAGTTTCCAGTGAGTCAAGGAAGGCAAAGTGGAAATTCACTGCAGAATACCCATTGTTTCTAATTTGAAATATGACCCATGTCTTGGACATCCATTTTACTCAAAGAAATATAAATAAAGGGGGAGAAGTGACCCGGCCTCTCTCTTTTGAGCACTTTTCTTACCCTGCTGTATTTCTCAACCAGTTGTCATGAAATGATTTCTATACCTGTACAGGACCTGCCTGTCTGGTTCCCAATGCTGGGGTTATAGGCATACATAGCCAAGCCCAACTTTTTATGTGGGTGCTGGGGATTTGAATACAAGTCCTAATGCTTTTAGAGCTGAACCTCTTGCCCACTGAGCCCTTTGGTTTTTCTTAATATGAGTTTAATCAATGGGTTTTAGCTATACGAGATAAGAAGTTTTATTTCTTATTAAAATGATTGCCAGCAAGCATCAGAGACAAGGTTGGAGACAGAACAATTTTTTTCTCTTATCAGTGCTGCCTTCCTACTGTCCTAACCTTGTGCCAGGCCATGCTTCCATCTCCCTCTGCCTTGCTAGTATGCTTTTAGCATTCCTAGTGAGCCTGCTGGCTGCTTGACTTCTCTGAGTCATCCTGTGGACTTGAGGATTTCCATGGCCTCTTGTTACACTTTAAAGTTGGGTCAAGATCTGAGAGTCTTAGCTCTTATGTTTAAGAGATCTTTGTTTCAAAGATTATCCCATCATTGACTTCCCTGGCATCCTGCTTGTGGGTGGGCTAGGATCCAAAGGCCTGAATTGATGAGGATGCAGTGGCTATAATATAAAGGTTAGTTCATATAATGGTAAAGCTAACATTGGCCAAATAATCATGCTGTGCCAGGCTCTGAGCCAAACACCCTACATAATTCCTTCCAGCCACCCCAGGAGAAAGGTATGCTTCATTCAGAGATGAAGAAAGTGAGGTAAAGCAGTTGTATTGGTGTCAGGATACATGCTGAGGATCAGGGTCTGGAACACAAGGCAGTCTAGAATCAGGACCTCTTGGCCACCGTACTTATATATGCATCTCTCTGGAAGAATAATGATGCTTTAACTTTTTCTGTTAAACTTGAGTTCTGTTCACTCAAGAGGCACATATATTTGGAGCAGGGTTGTTGCATGGATGGACAATATGGTGTTTTCTCTCTGCTGGCGAGTCTTTGTTTTCATCACACACATAAGAACTGTGAGTTCATTTGACCTTTTTGGGCATTGAAAACATGTTCTTGGGGAGAAGAGGAAGTTCTTTTATTTTGTCCTGTTTGTTTGTTTCCTTGAGGAAAGATCCTGCTGTTGCTGAGACCCTCCCTCTCCAAAGGCACACACCCCAGGGTCTGGTGTCAGTTCCCAGATGTGTTACAATGCACACAAGCCGCTCTGTCCTTTGGAACTGGGAGGCACTACCATGTGGGAACATGGTTTGCCGTGCCACTAAGGGATATTCTTTATAGTTCTCTGTTTGATCTGCTAAATAACTTTGGTGTTTGACCTCTGTTTAGTGTTTCTCTAATTTACAGACTATTCTCCAGCCAGGGTTATGAAATCTATGTAATAGCCTGGTTCCTCCAGCATCATTTAGCTTTGGGAAGATAATCCCTAAAAAAAAAAAAGTCCTTTTCTTGTTCAGTTAATAAGCATTTTGTTTGTTGTTGCAAGCTACACTGTCACAGCAAGAGAGGGACAGGAACTAGAAGATGACCCAGTATGGAATAAGAGGCATTTGACCCAGATATTGGCATAAGGTGGCTGCCTCAGATTCTTGGCCAGCACATTACAAAGTTCAAAGATGATACTGCCATTGACTCTTCCTATACAAGCTCTATTTCTGAAGCTTCTAAAAGTGCTAGCTTACAATGACTCAGTGTGAGATTTTTGACCTTTTGGGTCACAGCCTTCCGAAGCAATTTAATAAGATGACCATTCTTTCTTGTGCAGTGGTGAAAACTAATTTCAGATGAGTGCTTAGGTAATGCTGATCATCTCTTCTGACATGTTGTGCATACCTTTAACATTGCAAATGCTTATTTTCCTCACTAATTATTAATGGTCAGTTTGTAGCATTAACTTGAAATCATCAGATGAATAATAAAGATATTGAATTTATACTCGAAGCAGGGGTTGATTGTCAAGTGGGAATGTCTAAAGGGCGCTGATACAGTAAAAACTCACTCATCCAGAGGTTGTACTTAGGTAGAAATCTATTTTCACGTACAAATGCACAGTCTCTATTGTTTTTCTACCAAGGTATGATGCTCTCCTAAAACATTTTAAATGACAACTACGGCATACATGAATGGTCGTTATCCTTGTTTGACTTTAAATCAGTTTTTGAAATGAAACATCACGAAGAGTTCTTGTTGGCTCGGACCTTGTTCACTACCCTTGCTGATATTTTTTTCCACTCTTTTCTTTCTCTACTCAATTTTTGGTATATTTGAGGCTGGTAAACCTGAGGCCTGAGCATGTCTTTAGAAACTTTTGTGGTGGTCAACTGGGAAGGATGTTGAATTATGTAATGGTGTCCAGGGCAAAGTCTTCGCTCAAGTCTAAGGATCCCCTTCCCCCATCTTCCCAGGTCAGTTCCATGGTTGAACCTTTCAGGCAGAGCACAGTGTGGTATTAGACAGATACATGTGCTTGGATTGCTCTGGATACCATAGATACCAAATGGCTGCCAAGGTACTATCAGGTTGTGAAAACGAATTTACCTAAACAGAAACCTCTAAAATAAGATCATAATGAGCTATCTCCTCAGTGCCTAGATTATCACAGTAATTAACTTTATCATTTTTCCTCATTAAAACATGACTATATGGTCACTGAAAACTAATCAGTGGTCTGTTTAAGAGGTCTTCTATGATCTCTCTGGTCAGAATTTCTGTTGACAATTTGGTGAATGATTTGAATTTTTCTATTCATTTAAGAACATACATAGAGAGATTATTGCTTTTACAGGAATGATCGTAACATATTTATTTGAATAACCCATTCTAAAAATAAATACCATGCCAGAGAAATAAAGATTTGAGTAAAGATCAGTATTTGGGCTCAGGTTGCCATTTGCATTTCTCTGTCATGGGCAAAGACAGGAAGAGATTACCTTTCGTAAATAGTGATTAAGTTGCCACCTGCACATGTGCAAACTTATTGGCAGCAAATTGACTTTTCAAGTGATAATTTAGACATAAAAATCTTTTCAACAAGCCAGGTGGCACATGCCAGCACTCGGGAGGCAGAGGCAGGTGGATCTCTGTGAGTTCAAACCCAGCCTGGTCTACATAGTGAATTCCAGGACAGCTGGGGCTACAGGGAGACCCCGTCTCAAAAAGACCAAAAAAAAAAAAAAAAAAAAATCTTTCTTACAGAGGGAAGCTCTTGAATCTATGTGTGGTAATCTCAGTTTTTGAAGCATTTACCCCCTCCACAAGAGCACACATTTCGGTACTTATTTTACTTTTTAGTAAAGATTCTCATTGACTATGTTTCAACAATGTACTTTTCCAGAAAAAATTATTTCCTAAAAATAAACCTTGGGGATTTGTTTATCATGATAATCAAAAGTGGGGTTCACTGGAACGAAAGGCTGAACAAATATTAGGAGAGACGGTATCCTGGGCTTGCAGCCCTGGCTCTTTCTGCAGATCTGAGAAGGCTCTCAGTGGTTCATTCTGGCATGATGCTAGAGTGCACTTCTAATGGGATGCAGAGGGGCACAGCCTTTCTCATGCTGTTTCTTAAGTCTTGCTAAGAGCCTTGAAAATGGTCAGACTTTTGATCCAACAGTTCTACATCCAAAAATGTTGTTAGAGGAAGTGGTCTGAA